CAGGGAGCCCGATGCGGGACTCGATCCCAGGACTCTGGGATCATGACCTGAGCCGAAGGCAGACGCTTAACCATCTGAGCCACCCAGGCGCCCACGTGCCCTCTTTAATACCCATCACCAGGCTGACCCATCCCCCCACTCCCCTCCCCTCTAGAACCCTCTGTCTGTTTCTCAGAGTCCATAGTCTCTCATGGTTCGTCTCCCCCTCTGATTTCCCCCCTTCATTTTTCCCTTCCTACTATCTTCTCTCTCTCTCTCTTTTTTAACATATAATGTATTATTTGTTTCAGAGGTACAGGTCTGTGATTCAGCAGTCTTCACAATTCACAGCACTCACCATAGCACATACCCTCCCCAATGTCTATCACCCAGGCACCCCATCCCTCCCATCCCTCCCAACCACTCCAGCAATGCTCAGTTTGTTTCCTGAGATTAAGAATTCCTCATATTAGTGAGATCATATGATACATGTCTTTCTCTGATTGACTTATTTCGCTTAGCATAATACCCTCCAGTTCCATCCACATTGTTGCAAATAGCAAGATTTTGTTTTTTTTATCAGCCTTAGATTTTTTTCATTTACCATGACATTTCTTTTGATGTTCTCCCGTGATACATAATTTCCCAAGTTTAGTAATCATCTGCCATGGTTTAATTAATTGCCTTTTACACAGAATGGTCAGTGGGAGCCCTTTTTTCTCTAACCAACATTTACTCAGTATTGTTTTATGTATTAATGTAGCATTGTGACCTGTGGGGAGACTTGGCAACTTCCTTTATCTCTAATTAGTCTCGTAGGTCCCATGGATTCTGTGCTAGATCAGTGCATGGTGGTGATGAGGTTCTGAGCTTGCACTAACCCCACACGGGTGGTACAAAGGTAGAGAAGGAATTAGAGAGTTAGGGAAGGGGGTCACAGAGAAGAAACAGTCACATAGGTACACACATCCAGATACACATCCAGAGAAAGCTCTGCCCTCAGAGATGTATACATATTGAGGGGATGGAGACCCAGAAGCAGAAGCTCACAGGCCCACAGACATGGGCCAATACACAGACACAGATGGACACACACCAAAACACAAATTCAGAAAGAGAAGCACTAGTAGGAAAGAGAAAGACACCCTGAGGGGGTGAGGAACAGAGAGAATTAGAGAAAAGGAGGGCCAGAGAGGAGTAGAGAGAAGAGAGTGGGAACAAGAATGTCCCGTTCCTGTAGCGAGCTGGGAGCGGCACCGCCCACACGGTGCTGGAGGGGTGAGGTCACACGGGGGTGGCAGGGGCTGGCGAGAGGAAGAGTGTTGATGTGATTGCTCTCTTTCGTAGTATTCAAGAAATGCTGACAGGCCAGAGGCTCTGCCACTCGGAATCTCACAATGATAGTGTCTTGGCAGCGCTGAATCAGCAGAGAAGTGACGGCATCCTCTGTGACATCACCCTGATCGCCGAGGAACAGAAATTCCATGCTCACAAGGCAGTCCTGGCAGCATGCAGCGACTATTTCCGGGTAAGCTGGGGTAGTGTGTTTGTTTCTGTAAAGATATCCATACACAGAGGATGACGAAGTTTTCCAAAGTGGCATGCAACCACCAGTCCGTTCGATGGCGGTCCCCAGACCTGGGAATATTGGGGGCCTTTCTGGGGCAAAATGAGATTGGGGTTCTGGTGGGATCTTCCCGGGCCTGGCCACCTGGATGCCCTCCAGTGCAGATCAGACTTCGCATTTGAGCTGAGGGGTGTTTGATACCATCCCACGGTAAGGCAGTGTGGCACTGTAGTGCCCCATGATGGGGGTGCGAACCGGGGGAGAGGATGTTTCTGGATTCAGGATCAGAAGGACAGTCTGTAAAACAATTTGTTAAAATTTAAAACGTCCGTTAATATGTAGTGTTTCTGATTTTTTATTTTCTATGCATGTTCTTGTTCTAATGCTTTCCAACTATTTGCTCCAGAGATAGAGATACAATTGGCGTCATGGCCTTTTATGGTTGATAAGTGTGTGTTGCTGAAGGCATATGGTCTTGTTTAGTAGAACTTTAGAGCTTGATTGTCAGTGGCTAATGAGATATGGTGATATGTTTGTTGCTTTATTTTATTTTATTTTATTTCATTTTAATTCCAGTATAGTTAGCATACAGTGTAATATTAGTTTCAGGTGTACAATCTAGTGATTCAACACTTTCATACAACACCTGGTGCTCATCACAACAAGTGCGCTCCTCAATCCCCATCATCTGTTTCACCCAACCCCCCACCCACCTCCCCTCTGGTGACCAGTACCTTTGTTCTCTATAGTTAAGAGTCTGTTTCTTGGTTGGTCTCTCTCTCTTCCCCCCTCATGATCATTTGTTTTATTTCTTATCTTCCCCATATGAGTGAAATCATATGGTATTTGTCTTTCTCTGACCGACTTATTTCACTTAGCATTGTACTCTCTAGTTCCATTCATGTCTTTGCATGTTTATTGCTTTTTTTAAAGATTAAAATATACAGTATGGTTATAGCTAACAATAGCTAAACCATAACTAAATGCCATTTATTTAGTACTTCCTATGATTTAAGTGGTAGAAAAAGAAATTTGCATACATATCTCATATAAATGAGAATAGAAATTGTGATTTTTTTTTTTAAATTTCCCTTACCAAGGTCTCAAAATGCTACAGAAAACCGTCTTAGGCCCATGAGTAATTTGTTGGTTTGATTTGTATAATTCCAATAATAATCTTGGTTTTGATGTCTAAGAGACAATATCAACTGCACTCAATTGCCAACCAGCAGTTAAACAGAATTTTTGAAGATGCCAAATCATAAAAGTCTTTTTTTTTTAAAGTGTTTTAAATATGATGAAACCTAGTACTGTAGAGGATCAAGAGCGAAGTAGTTAAAATGTCTATAAATAAAAAGTAGGGATTTAATTCTCAACTGCAGAAATGAAGCAGAATATCTGAAAACTGACCTTTTAGGTGCATTAGTATAATATTACATTTTATACACTCACACATTGTCGGGCATTCATCTTCCAGAAAGGTTATATTATTCAGGGGGCTTTCAAACAACATACTTTGGCTTGTTCTATACAACACAGGCAAATTATATAATAATATAATATACTAAGTTTTGTTTTCCTATAGACCACAATATAGTCCTGTTGTTACTTACCTTCCCTCCTCTTAGTTCTCTGCCAGTTAGCTTTTTAATTTAACTTTGGGAAATGGTTTGATTTTGTGCATGTGTGTATGTGAGAGAGAAAGCGTGTGAGTAAGTGCTTGTCACTTGTTGGCCTTTAACAGTGTTTACTGCTACTCCCAGGCTTTCATCTCTTCTACCACAATGCCCCGATACTCAGAGAGGGCCTCCTTTATAACACCTGTGGTACAAAGCTCGCGAAGAAAGCTTTATTATTCCCATGGTGCAGATAAAGAAACTGAAGTGCAATATGTTTTTTAAGATTTTATCCATTTACTTGACTGAGAGAGAGAGCACAAGCAGGGAGAGCAGCAGGCAGAGGGTGAGGGAGAAGCAGACTCCCCACCGAGCAGGGAGCCTGGACTCAGGGCTCCATCCCAGCACCTTGGGATCACGACCTGAGCCGAAGCCAGATGCTTAACCGACAGAGCCACCCAGGCACCTCTGAAGTGCAATATGTTTAAATGACCCACCCAATGACTGCCAGATAGTAGGTGGAAGAGCTGCTTTTCACACATAGGAACATGTTTCCTGGAGGAGAGAATTCTGCTTTTTCCCTTGCACCGTGTGCCCTGCTAGATTCATACACAGTTCCTGTAAGCTCACAACCTGCCTGTGAGGTGAAAATTAAGTGACTTTTGTCGTAAGTATTCAGATGCAGAAACCAAAACAAAACTGGAACAGTGGGCACTTTTAGCTCTTTTCTAGGCACAGTGTTGAGTGCTGGAGTTACAATATTTAACCAGACATACACTGAGCCCTGTGGCATTTGTAATATAGGTATTGTACTAGAAGTAGTTTTTCCCCTGTCCTCTGCCCTTTTCTTAGTTTTTGTAGCATAATGAACCACTTCAAAACCTAGAAGCTGAACAGTTCCTCTAGTCGGTCAGCCCTACTGATCAATGCTGGATTCATTCTCACTCCAGCAGTTAACTGGACTGTTGGCTGGAGGCTGGATGACATGAATTGGCCTTGTTCACATGCCTGGTGATTGTGAGGCTCTTGGCTGAGGTGCTGGGGGACACTGGGCACATATTTCTCACAAACAGGCTAGCCTGGGCTTTTTCACATGACAACTAAATTCTAAAAACAGCCAGCAAGAGCGTAAGCCTCAATGGATCGGTACTTTTCAGTCTTCTCTTTGTGTCATGTTTTCTGATGTCCCATTGGCCAAGGAAGTTACATGGCCAAGCCCAGAGTCAGCATAAGAGGGTACACCAAAGGGCAGAGATGCAGAAAGGGAATGAATTTGTTGCCATTTTTGCAACCTCCTGCTGTCAAGAACTGTCAAGACTGAGATTTTATCCTACTTGCAAGCCAGCAAGTTAGCCTCACACAGTTTCATAGATGTGGGTAGAAGACATGAGACTCCAAAGTCAGAGACAAAGGACCATTTATGACTCATAGCAACAGCAGTCTGTGAGTCTCAGCTTATTTGCACCTATTCCCTGAGCCTCTGGTCCCATAGGTGACACAAAGAGGGCCAGCTTCCATTACTGCACACAAAATGGACTGCCTTACCAGAGAGGATCGTTGAGTTCAGGAAACCCAAATCTTTAATAATGGTTAGGAAACGTATCTGTTTTTTGTTCTGGAGGGACACATTATTATACCAGACTGTAAGCATGCCTACCATTTGCTCTGTAAAGAGACACTGTATCTTTCAGGATTGTAAGCAAAACTGCCCTTTACTCCTAAGGGAGATACCACTCTGTCTTCCAGAGCTGTTTGCTATAGAAATATCCTTGAAAAGAGAGTTCAGAACAAAGGACAGTCAGTGCCTCACTCACAATACGTGCAAAAATGCAAGAGACCCATGGAGAATTGTCTTCCAACAACCACATGACCTAAACTAGAATTATGTTTGTTTTCCTTGTGTCTTACGCTCTCCCCCACTGAAAACACCTGGAAACAGTATCCTGCTTTAGTAATTTCTGTATCTCTCACAGCACTTATAGTGTTGCTTCCGGCTTAGTGCTCAATAAATATTTATTAAGTGGATGAGGCAAAGTTTTCTAATTGTCATAGAATTCCATGTACATTTCAATTCTTAATATCTTGAATATAAAAAATATGCAAATTATTGATGGATTTTTCTTTCTAGTGTAATCTGTTCAAGTTAATTAAGTACCTTCCTATAAATTAGACTTTGGCACTTTGTACTTTGACATCTGGCAGATTATTTTGAATCAAAATTGTTTTGATTCAGGAAAGGTAGTACTGCAAGAGTGAGAAGGCCCGAGTTTTGATGTAAACTGCTTCTTTACGTGGATCTGAGAGTTGGTACCAGCTTTTCTTGCTTAAAATATAAATAACAAACAGTTGAGCACAAAGTACTGTAGCTTCCTGTGATTATCAACATTTTAAAAGAAAAAGTGAAAACATTTTTCAGCCAAGTAATCATGATTTTTAAAAAATAAAAAGTAGGTTTAGTATCCACAGTGTAAGCACAATGTGGCAATGGTCAAATGCTATTAACCAATTCAGACCAGGGAGTTCTTTTATGAGTGGAAGCAGGGGCAGGAGGAAGAAAGGGAAGAGCTTACAAGTCAGGTCTGTGTTTGAATATAGCAGCAGGGATGTTCTCTCGTTGGCCATTGCTCCCCAGTGTCCGGCAAATAGGTGCTATTCTAATTAATAGCTCTTGGTTATTAATCCTCTTTACTCTCTATTCTCTAAGCATAGGTGAGTCATCTTACTTCTGTGAATCTGTGTTTTTTCATCTGTAAATTGGTGATCATAAAGCACAACTCTCGGAATGGCTTGACATAAAGACTTAAATGAGATAAAGTATATGATGCACTAAGCACTGTCTCTGACACACAGTAGACTTTCAATAAACATTAGCTGTTTCAGTCCTTGCACTAAACTGAGAGTCCTGGTCATGCTCTGCCTAGCTACTTGGGGGAAGAGATAACAGTTTATCTTTTTGGGTTCACCAGGTTGCAGCCTTGCTCACCTTTTGATGGGTCACAATAACTTTTTGGTTCTATCTTTTCCCATCTTTTCATTTTCTGAATCTGACACCTCCTTCCTTCTTACTTAGAACATTCCAGTAGCCATCTAACTTTTCTCCTCTACCGGTGTCCCTTTGCAAACCATTGTGCAAATGACTGCGTGGTTAGCTTTCACTCCCCTGCTCAGATCCTCCAGAGCTCCTCACTTGCACATTTGCCAGACTCCCAGAGTGGAGTGTGCCTTCATGCTGTGTCATTATCATCCGTCTTCATCTTTGTTCCCCCATCTGTTCATTTGAGGTTGCAGCAGACTGTTCTCCAGATATACTCCATTGCACCTGAGGGTCTTTCCACTTCTTGGCCT